GTTGTACTTGTCCTTTTGTGCTTGGCTTACTTCGCTTATTACAATTTTCTCCAGTTCTTCCCATGAGGCGATATGCTTCATGCGTCCATCACTACTTTTTAGTGATGCGTAGTACTCCATTGTGTGTATGTACCACAGTTTTATAATCCATTCATCTCTTGATGAAAATTTGGGTTGTTTCCAAGTCCTTGCAATTGTGAACTGTGCCGCAATGAACATTGGAGCACAGATGTCTGGCCTTGGTTTGTTTCTTGCCCCTTCTAGGTAGATGCCCAGTAGGGGGATTGCTGGGTTGTAAGATAGCTCAATTTCCATCTGTTTTAGAAATCTCCAAATTGATTTCCATAGTGGCTGTACATACCTAAAGCTCCACCAGCAGTGGATGAGAGTTCCTATCTCACCACAGCCCCTCCAACACTTGACAAAATAATAATAATTTATAAATTATCAAGGGTTCATGAAGGAGGGAGTACAGGGAAGGAGGGGAAAAATGAGGAGCTGATACCAAGGGGTCAAGAAGAAAGCAAATGTTTTGAGAATGATTATGGCAACAAATGTACAAATGTGATTGACACAATGGATGGATGGATGGATTGTGATAAGAGTTGTATGAGCCCCAATACAATGATTTAAAAAGAACAAGAAGTTGGGGGTGAATCCCTAGATACTCAAGGCTCCCTAAGGTGACCAAAGCTATGGAGCCAAAGATCTTTGTCCTAACTTCTTGGTGTTGAGGGATCAGAGGAAAAGGTTTCTTCTGAGAAGTGATAGAAAGTTATGTGAAACAATGAAATAATACAAAACAAAACAAAAAAAACCCAGTTGCTATCAGTCCAGTCCATGGTGACCAGGTGTGTTGCTGAGTAAAATTGCTCCACAGGATTTTCAAGCAGGTGACCTGACCTAATCTTTCTGGTTAATTCTGGGTGGATCTGAACCACCAAGATGTGATTAGTAGTGTAGTGCTTGACTTCTTATTTGTAACACCCATGGTGTCCCTCAGTAGTCCCGGTGGCATAGCAGTCATACATTCAGCTATGATCCTCAAAGTCAGGAGTTCAAAACCACTAGCTACTCCCAAGGAGGACCAGTTCTATCCTGTCTAATAGGCTCACCATGAGCCACCACGGACTTAATGGCAGTAAGAAGGACGCAGTTGAGATGTTTGTTTAGGAATGAGGACCCCTCTAGGTGTACCGGTTAAACAGTGGTTAGTGTTGTGCTGTTAATCAACCGTAATACAAGGTTGGAAGTTCAAAATCATCAGCCTCCTCTGTGGGAGAAAGACTGGGCTTTCTACTCCTTTAAAGGATTATCAGTCCAGGAACAGGAATGGGAGTAGTGAGGGAAGGTAGGAAGAGGAGGGGAGGAAGCGGGCACACACACACACACACACACACACACACACACAGGGGTGAACAACAGAAACTGTCAAAAGAAACCATGGGGGAAGGAAAAGAGCAGTCGGTATAAGATATGAAAATAATAGCAATTTATAATTTGGTCATGCGGGTGGGAGGGGTTTACGAGGAAAAAATGAGGAGCTGATACCAAAGGCTCAAATAGGAAGTAAATGTTTAGAAAATAATGATGGCAACATATGTACAAGCTTGATACAATTGATGTATGGAATGTCATAAGAGCTGCAAGAGACCCCCCAAAAATGATCTTCTAATTTGGAGGGGAAAAAAGAGTGACCAGTCTCAGGAACCCCCAGGGCAGTTCTACTCTGTGCTTATGGAGTCACTGTGAGGGTCACTCAACTCTTTTCACGAAAATGAAACAAACAACAACTACTGGAAATAGTGAGTTTTATCAGATAGTTAAATAAAAGGTCAATTCAGAAAATCAACCGCAAGCCTATCTATTAGAAATATACATTAATAATGGTATGTTGGAAAATAAATTCTGTTTAATCACACACCAAAAAGATACACACCACAGTTATGAAAACTACAGGGCATTATTAGAAGAGGATAGAGAACTAGACCCTCACATACATGCTTAGCTAATTTTTCTAACTCAAATTCCATATAAATTAGAATAGTATTTGCCTCTCATAAATGAAAAACACACCTGTCAGTCAAGGAGGCTGGGGGAAGGAGATACGATGGAGGCTGGTTAGGATTTCTTCTCAGAGGTTCTCATGGAAAGAAGACGCCAAATGCAAAGAACATTACACTTGACACAGTGAGGTTTTCTGAGAATGATGCTTGCCGTGTATTGAAGTCTTACCTTTGTTCAATATCTTCCTACGCTTTTCAACTTTTGATCGCCACAGAGCCCCAGGTTGGTATTAAGGCCATTTGCAGTAAGGGAACTTGTGAAATTCAAATAACTGGCTGTGTTAGTTTCCTGGTGCTATCGGAACAGAAATGCCCAAAATGGGTAACTTCAGAGACCAGAGGTTTATTTTCTCACAGTTCAGGAAGCTGGAAGTCAGAATTCAGGACACTGGCTCTAGAGGAAGGCTCTCACTCTGTGGGCTCTGAGCAAAGATCTTGTCACTTCAGTATTCTGCCCACTCGGTGATCTTCACATGGTATTGATCATCCTAAGCCTGCTGCCATACGACTCAGAAGTGATTGGGTTTGATATACATCTTATACTGAAATGACCTCATTATACCATAGAAAAACCTATTCCCAAATGGGATTACATTTACAGGTGTAAGGATTAACATTCCAACACATATTTTAGGGAAACATAATTCAGTTCATAACGCTTGCTGGATGACGGTACAGGTGGTTGGCAACAGAGGCTGACTTGGAACTAAAAATGTCTAATTCCAGATCCTATGATGTTAGCCAATCAGCTAGACTTCATTCTTGTCATTGGCTGACATTGAAGTAATCCAATAGAAGCAGATGTATCACGTGAAACACAATCACTCTGACAGGGTAGGGTGGACAAATCTAGCATGTAAAAATATAAGATGAGGAAAATTCTAGTTTCAGATGAAATTTTAGTGTTTATCTTAATTCTGCTTTGACTGGCCTCCTGTATTTTACCTGGGAATCTTAATCCAGGGGCATAGATTTAGATAGTAGGCTATCAAAAAGATGGATAAATACGGATACTTTAGGCAAACCAAAAATATTGCAGAAACTTGGTTTCTGAAACCCAAGTCTCTGGAAGGTAGAAAATGGCAATCGATTCAATTAGCTAGCAATGACTTTGAGAGCGCAGGCTCAGTCGAGCGTCCCAAGTGTGCTGTTCTTGTGTCAGTTACATTCAGGATCCGCTAGGTCCTGGTTCTCAACCTGTGGGTCGCAACCCCTTTGGGAGTCAAAGGACCCTTTCACAGCGGTCGCCCAATTCATAACAGTAGCAAAATGACAGTGATGAAGTAGCAACAAGAATAATTTTATGGTTGGGGGGGTCACCACAACATGAGGAACTGTATTAAAGGGTCGCAGCATTAGGAAGGTTGAGAACCACTGAGCTAGGTGATTAGGCAGCTAGTTAAGAGTAAGATGCTCATCCACTACCATAGTTGAGGTGCTAACATGCCTTCCAGACTGGCAGGACACTCCAGCTCTGAGACCCATGGATGGGTGCCCGTGCAGCCACGAGAGCATGTGCTTGCATTCAGGGAACTGAAAATTGTGGTGGGGGAGGTTAAGAGGGACAACGTCACTTCAATTTTGCTGAAACCGTTCTACCAAAATGCCTCACTGATTTGATAGCTGTACTATAACAAATGCAGCTGTTTCAACTTGAGGGAAGGAAAAGGAGAAAGCACCTTCTGACCTGGGAGTGATAAGACATACTGACAGCATCTTTGCAGAATGATTTGTAATGATGAAAAATCGGTAACACATATCTAATAAGAGACTAGGCATAACAACTGATGCTACAACCTTGAGACAGAACGTTATGAATATTTACAATTATTAAAAATATTTTAGTGACATGTCGAATGCTTTATATACAAAAAGCTAAAGTATAGACTATTTGTTGTTGCTGTTAGTTGCCATCCTGAAGTCGATTCTGGCTCCTGGCAAGCCTGTGTGCGCAGCCTGGCACTGGGGTTTTGAGTGGCTATGATTCTCGGGAAGTGAATCACTAGATCTGGCTGCCCTCAAACCTTCAACCATTTGTCTAGTAGTTGATTATGTAACCATTTATATCACCCAGAGTATATTTATGACATAATCCACCTATATAAATTGGATGTGCAATTATAAATTAAAATTTAAAAACAGAAGCAGTAAAAAAAAAAAACCAAAAATATTTTACAGTAGTAAAACCAGGATGGTAGATTGGTGAGTGATTCAGTGAAAATAATTTTTTGTATGTGCTCTACTTCTCCATACGGTGCTTCTATCAGTTTCATAGTGAGAAAAAAATATTTCTAAAGGGAACAAACATGTGAAAGAAATGTTAGAACTGACAAAAAACTGATTATCATGGCAATTGGGATAAGGTACCTGAACAAAGTTGGCAATTGCCAGATGATAAAATTTAAGTATTATATCAAATAGGAAAAAGAAAGTGTGGCAGCCTGGGAATCGCATCGTCTACCAACATTCTGCTTGAGTGAATCTGGGTGTTCTTCCCGTCACATGAAAACTTTATCTTAAACGTTTTCATTTGATGTTCAGGATGTAGACGATGGCAGAAGAATGAGCAGAGAGCTAAACTGTGGGAACAACAGGGCAGAGGAAGGAAAGAGGCGGGGGAGAAGATCATCTGGTGGAATGGAGGGAAAGGAACATAGTCAGAAAGGGAAGGAAATGAGGAGATGGGGAGGGGGCATTACAAATAAAATCGGGGCATTCGGTATCTTCTCGGAATCAGGACCATCGACTTGTGGGTACTAGCAGAATGCTGCAGTCTGGTGGCCCTTCACTCTGCTGTCTTCAGATTGCAGTGCCCAATTTAGGCCATCGTACCCCTGGAAGTGGCATAGTCCAGCTCGAAGTTGGAAGGCCTCCAAAATTAAGCACATTAGCAGAGCTAGGCAAGCATTGCTGCCCTTGAGCACTCAAGGAAGCCTAGTTTAAAGGAGTTTTAGGAAATTTATTTGGCACAGGCATCTGGTACCTCACATGCTTCCAGAATTTGGAATTCAAGGACAATTTGTTGGCGACATGGTCTTCCCTCCACTTAATGGTACCCTGAATTTTCATAAGATGCTGGAGAGACTCTTGAAAGGTGTCACAAGGCAGACCATCTTGTTCACTCAGCACCTGCATTTCAATGAGAATCACCTTGGAGTTGTTCTGAATGAGGGCATTGTGTAAGGCCATCTCCTGCTCATAGGCAAACTCCTGGCAATGAGCTATCTCAGGAGTCAGGATAAAAATGTGCCTCCGGCTCTTTTGTATGTTGGTCTCCACAGCAGTGGCTGCATCTAGAAATAAAAGAATGAGTAAGATTTTAATCTGCTTCTCTATAAAATGTAATCCTATGATCATAAATGTTTTGAACTTTAAAAAATACCAGTATTATCACCTGGTGTGCAAATCTGACACTGATCAATTTGCTTAGTCAAAAGTGTGGAAATGTACTTGGGTAGAGAACCTTAGAGTTCTAAAGCCTTTCACAATGAGGCCATCAGTCCCAATGCCCTCTTTTCCCCCAAAAAGACCAGTTTGCTGTGAGAGAGCTGTGACCGAAAATGATTGATGGACATGAGGATTAATAAATTAAAAGATTGCAACCAGAAGTAGCATCTGATTTAACATCACAAGCTACAGTTATTTTACCAGAATAAAGAGGACAAACTTCCAGGTCATAGAATGAACATTTGAACCTCAGTTACTGAGTATTTTCAAGTCAAGTGGGTAAGCTAAGAAGAAAAGTCTGGAAGAAGAGAGCTTCAAGAGAAAAGCTCAATGATAGTCTCCTGCATTTCATATTTCACAAAGCTCTCAAGCCATGTCTGTTGCTGTGTATCATCAAGTCAACCCCAACTCCTAGTGACTCTGTGCAGCAGGGTAGAGACCCGTGGGGTTTCCTGGGTGGTAATCTAGATGGAAGCAGGTCACCATTCCCACCCAGTGACCGGTGAGTTTAAACCACTAATATTTCAGTTAGCACTGGACTACTTAATCATTACACCAGCATGGCTGCCTAAGTCATTAAGAGATGACTAAAGTACACCCTCCACACTCACACACTGCTATCAAATGAATTTGTACTCAGAGTGACCCTATAAGTGCAGATCAAAATTGCTCTATAGGATTTCCAAGATTTCAAAGAAAACCACCAAGTGTGTTTGTTTTTTTATCCAAAACAGATCTGAGAGAGTTTGACTTGCCAACATTTTAGTTAGGTTATTATTGGAGTGTGTAACCATTTTCTCTACCCAGAGCACGTATCAGGCAATTAGCATTGCCCTCATACCTCAGGAGACAATTAATTCACGTGTTGTTTGTAGCTTTCCATCTATAACCACTTAAATACCTCCTTTCAGGAGAAATGCCTTCCCCTTCCCCCCGTTAGGCTGCAATTTTTTTAATTAAATCATTTTATTGGAGGCTCTTACAGTTCTTATCACAATCCATATATCCATCCATGTGTCAAGCACATGAAATGTCATTTTAATTCACAGTTTCCTATATTTATCCATTGTGCTTAAACTCATAATGCCCCTGCCCCAGGTGTATCCCCAATCCTTCCTGGTCTCTGAGGAATTAGAAAAGTGTTACACCTCAGCATGAGAGTGGGACAAGAGGAAAGTAAAAGGAAATAGACGTAAGAACTAGAAGGCAAAGGACATTTATAGAGGTCTGTATTAGTCTGGGTACTTTAGAGAAACAAATCCATATAAACTCATGTATAAGAGAGAGTTTTATATAAAGGTTAAGTGAGCATCAAGAAAACATCCCAACCCAGTGTTGCTCAAGCCCACAAGTCCAACATTAACCCATTAACCCATATGTCCAACACCTGTCCACAAAATCCTCCTCCATCTCACAAAACACACACAACGATGCCGACTGCAGGAGGAAAGCTGAGTCATTGAACGTGTAAAGCATCTCAGCACTGGCTGGGGTCTCCACATGGGTGCTCTAGCACCCAAGCTGCATCAGGGAAGGTCCATGTGGCTTCTCCTTGGGGATATCTTGCAGAAAGTGAGCCTTATCAGCTGAAGCTGGGACTGTCTAAGGCAGCTGCACCCTGATGTGACCATCACAAAGCAAGAGACCCGAGAACTAGAACTGTGAGGCTCACTGTGTCATTTATCCTTCTGCCCTTCAATTAATTCCACATGTGTTTATCCGCCAGGTTGGCACAATAAACTAACTCAAGGTCTAAATACAGGCATGTACATATATAAATATATTCATATATAACAACATATGTAAATATATTTAATATTGATATGGTAAGGCAGCCTATGGACATTGGGGCCCTACTGAAGTGCTCCCTCAATGCAAGAACACTTTGTTCTAATAACCCGGAATTCTATGATGCTAATCTTCCCAACACTGTCACTGAAGACAAAATGCGTGCATAAGCAAATGTGGTGAAGAAAGCTGGTGGTGCCTGGCTGTCAAAAGATATAGTGTCTGGGGTCTTAAAGGCTTGAAGATAAACAAGTGGCCATCTAACTAAGAAGCAACAAAGCCCACATGGAAGAAGCACACCTGCCTGAGTGATCATGAGGTGTCGATGGGAATCAGGTATCAGGCATCAAAGACCCAGAACAAAAGCTCATCTCAATGTGAATGAGGGGGGAGGTGAAGTGGAGACCCAAAGCCCTTCTGTAGACAATTGGACATCCCATTACAGAAAAATCACAAGGAAGAGATGAGCCAAAGGGTGCAGTATAGCACCAATGAAACATACAACTTTCCTCTAGTTCTTTAATGCTTCCTCCACCACCACCCCTCAATTATCATGGCCCCATGGTACAGATAAGAGCTGGCAACACAGGGAATTTAGGACAAGTAAAGCCCTCAGGACCAATAATGAGAGTAGCAATACCAGGAGGGTAGGGAGAAGGTGGGAAGAGAAAGGGGGAATGGTTCACAACGATCTGCATAGAACCCCCACCCAGGGGGATGGACAACAGAAATGTGGGTGAAGGGAGAAATTAGTTGGTGCAAGACATGAAAAATAAGATTATAAATTATCAAGGTTCATGAGGGAGGAAGGGTGGGGGAGGAAGGAAATGAGCTGATATCAAGAGCTCAAGTAGAAAGAAAATGTTTTGAAAATGATGATGACAACGTATGTACAAAGGTGCTTTACACAATGGATGGATGGATGGACTGTGATAAGAGTTGTAAGAGCCCCCAATAAAATGATTTTTTTAAAGTGGGGGGGTTTAAATGAAGGGGAGAGTAAAACAGCTAATGAAATGACTGGAATTATGATGAAACTGTTCAAAGTACCTGCAATCTGCTGTAATGTTAAGAAACAGAAGGGACAGTAGGTCGACCTGTTCTCCCCCCCCCCACCCCCAACCTGTTCTTATGAGAGTAAAAAATGTACAAAATTTTTCACCGATATAAGGAAAAGTCAAAAAGACTCTTGGAGTCCTCTATGGATACGAAACTAAAATGCTTCAACTTTTAAGTCTTTCAAACCTCCTAGAGATGCTTAGGAAATGCCAGTCATACTAATCAGGGCCTGAGGCATAAAGGAGGGGCAATGCTCTGCTGGCTTCTTGTGTCAAAGGACACCTACCTCTGTGTTCACATCATAGATACTGCTCGTGACGAGGTGATGATGACAACAGGGTGAGTAAAGAATCCGTATCTCCTCCTTCTGGACAAATGTTTAGCTCTGGCATAGAATTCACCTGTCTCATATGCATGAATTTTGTCACTAACGTCTGTCAACAATTTTACCTTCACCCGGTAGCAAATCTCTTCCATAAATGCATAAGTTATATCCACACTTATTTTCAAGAACATCAGGCAGAATATGATGAACAAAGTATTCCACATAACTGGCCCCCTCAGGACTATCTTTGCAATTCCGGGGATAGATGACATAAGCATCATAGATCTTTCCATCTGCAAATGAAAACAAGAAGCAAAACTCCATCACCCAGCTCTAAAAATATATATATAATTTGATTCTTAGCAGAGATTCCTCACTATTATTTTAATTGTTGCTAAATGCACTTGATCCCCTACTTTTTCTAGAATCAAGATACTCTGCCTTCCACTGCCATTAAATGTGATAAGAAAATCCACCTTAATCTCAGGGTCCTTTTTCTTTTTTTAAAAAAATTATTTAATTTATTTATTTTTTAAAGTTTTATTAGGGGCTCATACAACTCTTATCACAACCCATAAATACAATTTCATGTTGAGGATCGGTGAAAGGCTGTACATATAGCTTAGTCCAAACCATATGGAAAGACTTGATTAATAATGGATTGATATTTCTGGGTCTTGTTTTTTGTAGCCCTGGAGAAGCACCTTCTGCTGCTGATGAGAACTCCATTTCTTCTGTCTTCCCCAAACATCCTCTGGAAAAGTCAAAATGCTACAGACGACTTGTGGAAATGGAGCAGAAATGTTTAAGGGATCTGAATTTCTGACAAGTCAGATAATTAATGATCTCCTATGTAAAGCAGCCATATGAAAGAATGTAGCACATATCTGCTTGATCACAAATCGTGATCATACCAGTGGTATTTAACATGTATACTTATGTGCATAGATCAAACTTTATATAACTCAAACAAAAAAATCAACCAAAAGACCCTCACGGCCATCGAGTTGATGCCAACTCAAAGTGAGTCTATAGGACAGGATAGAACTGCCCCTGTCGGTTTCTGAGAATGTAACATTTTACTGCAGAAAGGTTCATCTCTTTTTTTGCATATAACTTTGTTTGTTAACGTGCTTGTTAAAAATGAACTATTAGACCTAGTCTGTTCTTATTGCTCAGTTTTCCTCAACCAGCACCAATGGTGCTTGCCTTGAGCAGTGTCACTCTACAGCAGTAGAAAGGCCTGTTTTTCCCCCTAGAAAGCTTTTGAAATGCTGACCTTTCAGATCACAGCCAAACTCAAAACCAGGTCTCCAAGACATTGTCCAGAGTAGAGTAAAGCATCTGAATTCGGATAGCCTGGTCTATATTACACCCGGAAAGCAGAAGCGTCTTTCATCGTGGTTTTAATTGCATAAGGCCTCGCCAAAACATATTTTCCTAAATAGTTACACCTTCTTAAGTTGGAGAAGATTCTGTCATTTGGAATTTATTAGGAACAGTTATTCTGGAGTTGAGCTACTGAGATGAATCTCAGGAACAAAGAGAGGTATGGGGGCCTAATGGAAAATTACCTCTGAGTAGATTAAAAACAATTCATTAATTTTCCAAAAAAACGAAGCATGGGGTTCAGCATGAATGATGAAAAGATTGTTGGACAAATAGCCAAAGGTCATTATCAACTTGTTCTTTTCAAGGAAAGCTGGAAATGGACCACTTACCATTCCTACTTTTGTAAGGTGTAACTGTGTCTCTCCATAGCAGGATAAAGTCAATCCAGAACACTTTTAGCAGTACTGAGAAGACACTGATTAGCATGAGCAATACACTAAATCCTCCAACTGTAGTGTAGAGGCTTTGATGACCAACTATTCAAAAGATAGAAGGAAGAGAAAGTCATGATTAGTGTCAATGGAATCAGGTAAAATGAATATACATCTTGGCCTCCAGTGGAAGTACGAGCAATTCATGGCCACTTGAGATGTTCAGGTTGCTTTTGGAGTCCGTTGACCCTTTTCTCGAGTAAAAGGAGTGCTGGTGGTGCCATGCTGGCATGTCCAGCTACCAACTGAAAGACCGCCCAGGTGAACCCACCTGGCTGCTCCATGAGAGCAAGATCCAGTGATCGGCTCCCTATACAATAAGGCAGGGGTAATTCTACTTTGTCCAGTGGATCATTATGTGTCAAGAGCCATCTTAGTCAAAGCAACTGTGCACATGGCACCACACTAGGGCATGACAGGAGATCCCAAAAAGTCGAAGAGCCAGCCCTTCTTCAAATGAGATCTAAACACACATTTGAACTTAACTAAGATTAGAAGTCTTAGAGATAATCATTGGTTGAGGCTTTTAGAAGACAACCTCGCTGCATGCTTTATTGAACAAGGAAGGCTGCTTACCGGTGGTAGTCACTGGAAGATGGGTATGACGCAGACAACTAGAAAGACGGAAAGAATTGCACTCGCAAAAAGAAAAATGGTTGAGAACCAATGTGCAGAGGTGGGTGTGTATTTTCAGAAGTAATCCAGTTTTGAAATTAGTGGATAATAAGGTTAGAATGTGCGTTAGGGGCAGCATCTAACAAGACCCGAGGACCAACCTAAAGCACTTTGTGAGCGCTATTTTAGAGTTTTGAGTGAGGGACAAACAAGGAATGTACTTTTCAAGTCCGATTAATCTGCTGGAATAGAAGGTGTGTTTCTATTGAAAAACATTGCGGGAGGTCCACTAGAATGGGACAGGAATTTCTGAACTACTGGTGTGACTGAAAAAGTAGAAACTTGCATGATAATGGGAAAAGAAGAGACAGGTCTAATATAAAAGACATTAAAGAGAAAGAGTCCATAGCTCTTGGGGATTTATTGTGTCTGAGTGGTTGGTGACATAGAAAGCAGGGAAGAAAACAGATACACACAAGTGTCTCTAGCATATTTCTTGGAGAATCGATTTACTGGATTCTAGACCCTAGATACACCTCTTACTTCTCTTGTGATGAACATTCTTTAGCTATAAATGTACTTTTCATTGTACCCATGGCTTCACAAAATATAGATGCAATAAGATCCCCCTCATTAAGGGCATACAGTTGACATTGACATGTGAATTCTCAGTATTGCAAACATTCAGAATATTTTGGAGATTTAAATTCACCTTCCTAAAAGTCTCACATAAAGATGAAAATCAGTAGACTCTCACATGAGATTGGATCATATAGTTCCTTTGTTATAGTCAACTGAAGTCTTTCAGCTTGAGTTCCCAGTCTTAATGTAAGAAATCACTGGACCATATTCAAAATTCACAACCATCCTTCCCACTCCTAAAAGCACATCAGCTACCAGCACTTGATTTCAGCACTCTGAAAACAAGAATCATCAAGCTATGGTGATTCTTACTGGACACACTGGAACATTGGCTGAGAATTTATTGTCAGCACTGTTTTCGGTTTCAATCACAGATAGTCCCTAGGTGAATCGTTTCCAAATGATTTCACTTATTTATGTTTTTCTAGATATCTTCTCTGAATGTATACTGGGAGTCTGTATTTTTTATGGACATTATTGTAAGGTGACTATGCTTGTGGCTCGGCATTTTTAAGTATAGGAAAGACAATAGTCCCAAACTTTAAAGTAAGCAAAAGCCAGCATCTTCCTAATCGCTAGCAATTTTATAAATACAAAGGTAATTCTTGTATGTGATGATGAAACACTAAGTATTTTCTACTCATTTCTATTCACCGGAAACCCTGTGTTTGAAACTATTACACTTGGCAAGCTATTCAAACTTCACTTGCCTTGGTTTCTTCATCTATAAAATTAGGATGAGAATCACAGTTCCTCCTCCACTGGATTATGAAAAACAAATGAGATTTTACTATCGAGTAGCTAAGCAGTGCCTGGAACAAAAATCATCATGAAGAAATGTGCACAATTGCTATTGCAACATCAAATATTGTTTAATAATACTTCCTTAAATTATGGAGACATTGACTTTTAAGGAAATGCAGTAATTATTTTAAAAGCGATGATTAGAAATAAAGATTTCATCATGACAATTTCAACAGCAGTCACAGTTGGGGGTGAAGGTTGTTTATTTAACACAGTTGTTGAAGCAAAGACAAATTGAAGAAAGACAGGTAAAATGTGTCAAATATAAATAATATGGAAAGAACAAAAACCACAAATCCAAGAAGCTGGAAAACAATTCCAACCCACAGGTATCACAGAGAGCCCTCAGGGGATAACTATATAAGGAAAGAGTTGAGATCAGGGGTAATAAGAGGAGTGATGGGGAATGGGCGGGTGGGGGGGGGCGTGTAGAGGGATGTGGTCTCCTTTCATTCAGAAGCCAGCGCAGCTACCACCACCACCATGGTACTGCATTTCCAGACTCATATCATGTGTCTCCTACTTTTACTGCAAACCTCACAACCACCTTTCCTGTCAATTTCGTATGTGTACCACATATTTCTATGTCTATGCGTGCTGTGTACCTGAGCATGTTCAATACAGCACTTTAAATCATTTGCCTGAGTGTTTGACCATGGTTATTTACTCGTATGGTGTTTTACAAAAGCTTACAAATCAAGAGTCCAAGTAGAAATTAAAACGAGAAAAATCCCGAGCATCCCCTCTGGGGGAGCTGTACAACAGCCATCTCAAATTGGTGGTAGGTTTGCTTCTCACCTCTCATCACTTTTCCATGTATTTATCCAAATCCATCTGGTTCTCCACCTTCCCGATGCCACGACCCTTTCATACAGTTCCTCATGTTGTGGTGAAGCCCCAACCATAAAAGTATTTTTGTTGCTACTTCATAGCTGCAATTTTGCTACTGTTGTAAATCGCGCAACCCCTGTGAAAGGGTTGGTCAACCCCCAAAAGAGTTGCGACCCACAGGTTGAGAACTGCTGAATTCTGGACCCTACCTCGCCTGTGAACTGAAAGCTTAACCCTCCCTTTGACTGTTTGACAATAAGTTCTATATAGTTCTACATAGTTGTAAGGCCACTCAAAGGAGTAGTGAGTGTTAAAATATTATGGAATGAGGGTGCTTCAAACGTTTCATGGGAAAAAAATGGAGTTGGAAGACAATGGCATTTCCCCCATAAACTTCTTAAAGCCCCTTCATATGAAGCTTTCTCTGTGCTCTTTTATGTGGGATAAAATCATTCATCTAACCCGTAGGATGTCTTCCCCCTGAAAATACAGAGAACTAGGGAGGGCACCTATAGGGTGAACCAAATGTTTATAAAGTTGCATTCTGTGATACTACTGATAGGCTTGGTGCATCCTCAGCAAACAGAGGAAGCCTATGTGGGAGGAGAACATCATCACCAATATTGCTTGGCATTTTCCTGGTCTGATAAGAATAAAAAACACAATGACTTTCAGATAGATTTATTATTGTCTTAACATGTTCTGCTGACAATGATTCTCCTTGTTGCCTATACCCAGGAGCGCCCTGTTGCACCATCAAGTAGAAGAAGTGATCATAGCAGGGGTTTCAGAACCTAACTTCAGTGGGGATACCGCAACTCAAGATCATCCAAGGTTGGTCCCTATGAGATGGAGGTTCCTTCCACTGCACTCTCTTCTAAATTTGATAGTTCGTGGCAATGGTCACACAGAACTCAGACCATACTTACAGTTAAGTCTTTATTAAGGAAGTAACAAGGTACAACTCGGGATCAGGATCAGAAAATGTGTAGGCAAAGCCTCCCTGAGTCCATGCCGGTCAGTTCTCTGCACTCTTCTTGGCTGTGAAGGCCTCTCTCAGCACCCAGAACACAGGCCTCATCTTGGTCCCCTGATGACAGACTCCTCTCAGGCCCTTCAAGGAAAGCCTTTTTGCCTTCAGACATCTGCTGGGTCTCTTCTGCACCTGCTGCCATCCTCAGTGACACAGACCTTGACTCCTGTTATAAGTATTTGACTGGGGTCCTTGCCTTTTTGCTCCAGAGCTTCTGTCCCATTTTCATCTCCTTCTTCATGCTTCTTGTCTGAAAAATCTCTGTGCAGTTCACTGCATATAGATATACAACCCCTTGCCCATTTTGAGGCATAGCCCTCCCACCACAGCCATGAACTAGCCAATCCCCTCTCTGTAGGCCACAATTAATTTCACAGTGGGCTCTAGACACCTCATTTTCATAGTCTATTGGTCAATCCTTACAAGGTATTTATCAATCCAAAATGTAGT